TTTTTTTTCTCAGGATCCCCTGAGTGACTCTAAGGAGCTGTCAGCGAGCTGGGACAGCCTCACAGAGGCAGGAAAGGTGAGATCCACCCTAATGCACTGAAACCTTCCATAAGATGCTGACAGCAAACATGTCTGATCAACTTTTGAAGCAAAACACAGTTTTGATCTATTTAAACCTGAATCCACCCCTTTTTTACGTCCTTTTTTTAATGAAAAGTATATTTTACATTAGTTCCTTAACTGTATAATCCCAAATGTTAAGGTATAAACTTTATGTTTGTCTTCAATGTTGCTGCCTATTAAACATTTTCAATTGTTTTTAACCCCATTAAATCTGTTTTCAAAGGAGGACGCCTCCTCTCTGAATGATCTGTCAGCCAGTACAGATAATCTTTCTGAAACCTCCACTAAGGTATTTCCCATAGATTTTACTGGAGTTTAGTGTCTTAATTTCTTCGGTCTTATAATTCAAATTCAATACTTCATGTGTTTTGTTGTTTTTTTTAAACAGGAGAAAAGAGGCGGGTTTTCTGGGATGTTCAGGCGGACGCCCAAAAATCTGGAGCAGCAGGTACAAACATTGAAAACGCCTCTGATGCACATCTACCACATCCAGTGCTGTGCATGGATGCGTTTAATGAATAGTTCATATTTTTGGTGAACGGTGAACAAATCGGATCAGTTTTGAAGTAATGAACGTGAACAAGGGAATAATGATTAACACACACAGAGCTCACGTTCGCATTCTATTGATAAGGACATCATTCATTGGATAACGTCAGATTTTACGGCACTAATCAACGCAAGCAGCATGACAGAGCGGCATGTCTACTGCTAGTACTAGTTTGCGTGATTCAGAGTCATCTGCTGGTGTTTCTGATGCCAGTTTAGCAGAGCGCTTTGTTATGAACTAACAGAGGAAGACTGGGACAAAAAAAAAAACTCACGTTTTTGTGCAAACTGTGCTCACTGGGACTTAACTACAGTTTGTACGTCAGCCACGTCTACTTCAAATTTAAAGCGACACATCGAGTGAAAGCATCCGTGCTATCTGGGGAAATATCTGCTACTGAATGAGGAACGGTGGAAATCATTTTGATCCAGATCTTTTCAGCAGAAACTGAATGTTCCTGAATGTTTCTGAAGTTCTGTGTGATTTGGCTAAATGAAGGCTTCAC